GCACCAGAAGGGCCCAGTTTGCTTGGGGGAAGTGGTGGAAGTGACTAAAATCCAGCAGAGAGCAGAGCAAGCACCATTGTTCCCTCCTGGACCCCTCCACCACATACTTGTCACAACCCAGAGACTGGGTTGCCTCACCCAGGTGAGCAACCTAACAACCTAAGGCTCCACCCCTCACTACCTAACAGGCTAGTCGAGATAAAAAAAATGGCCCAAACAAAAGAACAGATCAAAGCCACAGAAATAATACAACTAAGCAATGAAGAGATAGCCAACTTATCAGATGCACAGTTCAAAGCACTGGTAATCAGGATGCTCACAGAATTGGTTGAATTTGGTTGCAATTTAGATGAACAAATGAAGGCTACAATAAGTGAAATGGAGGAAACTGTACAGGGTGAAGGAGAGTGAAGGGGGTAATAGCTGAATCAATAAAATATATTTTAAAAATAAATAAAAATAATTTGTGTTGTATTTTGGTATTACCATTTAGTCCCCTTACATCCCCTGCCCCCTGCATCACCACACTGTTGTCCTTGTCCATAATTCCTTTTACCTTTTTGCTCAATCCCTCCATCCTCTACCTCCCCCTGTTAGCTGTTATCCTTCTCTCTATCTATGAGTCTGTCTCTGTCTTGCTTGTTCACTTTGTTCATTAGATTCCACATATGACTGAAATCATGTGGTATTTGTCTTTCTCTCTCTGGCTTATTTCACTTAGAATAATGTTCTCTCAGTACATTCATACTGTTGTAAAGGGTAAAACTTGGTTTTTATTTTTTACAGCAAAATAGTATTCCATTGTGTAAATGTCCCATACTTGTTTTATCCACTCATCTCCTAATGGACAGTTGGACTACTTACATATCTTGGTGATTGTAAATAATGGTGCAATGAACATAGGGATGCTTATGTTCTTTCAAATTAGTGTTTTGAGTTCCTTCAGATATATTCCCAGAAGTGAAATCACTGAGTCAAAAGAAAGATCCATTTTTAACTTTTGAGCAGCCATACTGCTTTCCACAGTGGCTGCACCAATCTGCATTCCCACCAACAGTGCAAAAGAGTTCCCCTTTTTCCACATCCTCACCAGTACTTGTTTGTTGATTTATAGATGATAGCCATTCTGATAGGTGGACCATAATATCTTATTGTGGTTTTTATTTGCATTTCTCTGATGATTAGTGATATTACACATCTTTTCATATGGCTATTGGTCATTTCTACATCTTATTTGGAGAAGTGTCTATTTGGGTCTTTTGCTAACTTTTTAATTGGATTGTTTGGTTTTTGGTGCAGAGTTTTGTAAGTTCTTTATAAATTCTGGATATTAAATTCTTATCAGATATATCAGCAAATATGTTCTCCTATTCTGTGTGTTGTCTTTTTATTTTGTTGATGATTTCCTTTGTTGTGCAAAAACTTTTTAGTTTGATGTAGTCTAATTTGTTTATTTTTTTTCTTTTGTTTCCCTTGCCTGGGGAAATATATCTGATAAAATATTGCTATGAGCAATGTCTGAGATCTTGCTGCCTATCTTTTCCTCTATGATTTTTATGGTTTCAGGTCTAACATTTAAGTCTTTGATAATTTAGGGTAAGAAGGTGTCTAGTTTCATTTTTCTGCATGTATCTGTCCAATTTTCCAGACATCATTTATTGAATAAATGATCTTTAGCCCATTGTATGTGCTTGCTTCCTCTGTCAAATATCAGTCACTATAAAAGTATGGATTTACTTCTGGGCTCTCTATCCTGTTCCATTTATCTATGTGTCTGTTTTTATGCTAGTACCATACTGTTTTGATTACTATGGCCTTATAGTATAGTTTGATATTAGGTGGCATGATTCCTCCAATTTTGTTCTTCTTTCTCAGAATCACTGTTGCTATGTGGGGCCTTTTATGGTTCCATACAAATTTTTGAAATATTCCTTCTAGTTGTGTGAAATACATCATCAAAATCTTGATAGAAATTGCACTCCTCTGTAGATTGCTTTGGACATTTTAGTATGTTGAAAGCCATTTATACATATGTCCATATAGTATGGACATTTCAGTAATTTTAAATCTTCCTATCCATGAACACAGTATATATTTCCACTTATTTGTGTTTTCTATTTGTTTCTTCAGTGTTATAATTTTCCAGGTATAGGATTTTTACACCATTGGTTAGGTTTATTCCTAGGCATTTTATTCTTTTTAAGCAATTGTAAGTGGAATTGTTTTTTTAATTTCCCTTTCTGTTAGTTTCTTATTGGCATATAAAAATGCAACTGATTTTTGGATAATGATGGGTTGCCCCAGGCACTGGTTTCTGTCTCACCTTACTCAGATCATTGACAGAAAAGAGACTCGCAAACTTTAGATGCCCAAAGTCCACTGAAAACCTCTAGAGTTACACCTCTAGAGCTAATGCAGTACTACAGATAGACCCCTGGGAATGCTCCAGAATAGAAAAAAGTAAAATTCTTCAGCTGGAGATAACATACCCAAACCCAGAAAATACATATTCTAGAAATGTTTGAGAAGTCCCCAGAATCTCCAGTGGGGCTGGTAGATGAAGGCTTCTCCCTAGTGAAGACAATCCATAAAGACAGGAAGAGGTAGCTGGGTTTTTTAATATGCAAATTTCAACAAAATGTAACAAAGCATATGAATAAGAAGGAATTATGGCTCAATCAAAGGAACAACAAAAACCAGAAACAAACCCTAAACAAAAGAAATGTGTGAATTACCCAACAAATAACTCAAAGTAACATCATTAAAATGCTCAGTGAGCTAAAAGAGAACACAGACATCTAAAAGAAATCATGAAAAATAATGCATGAACAAAATGAGATTACCAAGAAATATATATAGAAACTATTAAAAAAAACAAAAATAAATTATTGAGCTGTACTATATAGAAACAAAATTAGGGGGAAAAATGACTAGAGAGGATTAATAACAGACTGGATTAATCAGAAGGAAGAATTAGTGAACTCAATGACAAGGTCAGTTGAAATCAGAGGAACAAAAGAAAAACAAAGGAAAATGAAGAGGTCCTAAGGGACTTATGGGATACCATTAATAGTACAATCTACCCATTATGGGAGTTCTAGGAGAAGACAGAGACATATGGTCAAAAAGCCTATTTGAAGAAATAATAGCCAAAGTTATCAAATTAGAACTGAAATGAACATACAAATTTAAGAAGCTCTAAGAACTGCCACCTGAGTAAAACCAAAAAGACCTACAGTGAGACACGCTATACTCAAACTGTCAAAAGTCACAGAAATAATCTTGAAGCAGCAGGATAAAACAAAGATTTCTCACAAGGTAATAATTGGATTTCTCAGCATAAACCTTGTAGGCCAGAATAGAGTGGAAAAATTCAAAATGCTGGAAAAAAAACCCCTGCCAACCAAGAATACTGTACACAGCCAACCACATGTAAAAGCCTCATGACATTGAATTTGGCGGTGATTTCTTGGCTATGACACTGAAAGCACAACCAAAGCAAAAATATGAGGGAGGACCCCCCAAAAGTAATTTATTTATAAAAACCTGGGTATTTATTCTTAGATTTTTAAATTTCAGTCACCTTCAAAATAGTCTTCATTGGATGCAATATACCTATCAAGACGTTTTCTTCCATGGGATAAAAGAGTTTTGAACTCACCAATTTTGATACCTCTTAGAGCTTCTGTCATTTTTTTGTTTTACCTTTTCCACATCAACAAAATGTTTCCCTTTGAGGACGTTTTCATTAGGGCAATGAAAAAAGTCACTTAGGGCAAGATCAGGTGAATAAGGAGAGAAGGCAGGGGGTCATGCCATTTTTGGTCAAAAACTACTAAACATCTATTGTGGTGTGGGCAAGTGTGCTCATAAATCACCCATCATGAAATGGGCAAGTGCATTAAAACAGTTGTTTTTTTTTTTTAAACTGAAGCTTAGCACAGCCTCTCACAACATCACTAGCTGGTACACTAATACAGATGGGCTCCTAGAACACTCACCTAGTGGGGGAAGCCTGTACTCCAGGGAGCCTGACCACCAGAAGATAATTACAGCTTTTGGGGTTCCCCCTTGTAGATAGACTGGACTTCATAAAACTTGAAAACTCCACAGCAAATGAAATGCAGAGTCAATAGGCAACAAACAAAATGGGAGAAAATGCTTACAAAACATGAATCTGAAGAGGAATCAATATTCAGAATATTTGAAGAACTCCTACAACTCAACAACAAAAGAAAACTTGACTAAATAATGGCAAATGACTTGAATACACATTTTCCCAAACAAGATATACAAGTGGCCAGCAAGTTTACAAAAGTTCTCAACATTTGTAATCATTAGAGCAATGCAAACCAAAACCATAATATCACTACGGTGGTCACTATTAAAAAAACAGAAAATTGTTGACACAGATATGGAGAAACCCTTGCATACTGCTGTTAGGAATTAAATTTGGAAAACAGTTTAGAAGTTCCTCAAAAACACAAAAACAGAATTACCATAAAATCAGTAATCCTACTTCTGGGTGTATATCTGAAAGAATTGAAAGCAGGACCTCAAAGAGATATTGCAGCATTATTTGAGATGGCCAAAAGGCAAAAATAGGCCAAATACGCATTGACATATTGCATAAATGTATAAAGTTTGGTATATACATACAATGGAATATTATTCAGTTGTAAAAAGAGAAATCTTTTCACACCCTACAACATGGATGAACCTTGATGACATTATGCTGAGTGAAATGGGGCAAATACTATATTATTTTAGTGATAAGTTTAGAGTAGTTAAAATCACAGTAACATAAAATAGCATGACAGTTGCTGGGGCAGGGTGAGGGGGCACTTTTACCACCGTTAAATGACATTCACTCAAAAGCAGAATCTTTACACTTAAAGTTGTTGTAAAGGTGAATATATTTGTGGTAAATTCTAATTTAAAAAATTAACTATTTGGTTAAATGGATGTTTTAAAATCAATTTTCAAAGTCTTTCTCTCAGTTTTGTAGTAGGTGCTGTTTCTCCTGCTGTTGTCGTGCCTGCCATGCTACTCTTGCAAGAAAACGGATATGGTGTGGAGAAAGGCATTCCAACCTTACTAATGGCTGCCAGCAGTTTGGATGACATCGTGGCTATCACTGGATTTGGTACATGTATGAGCATAGTCTTCTCCACAGGTAAAGAAGAAAATACAACCACTACCACATAACTTACAGCTTTTTTGTTGTTGCTGTTCTTAGTTCTTTAAGTAAGGTTTATAGCTTTCCTTCATTTGTTAACCACGACTTTTTTGCATTTAACAGCTTTTTATTCATCATAGACTAGAAAGGAAATTTCTAGACTGGGAAGGAAATTTCAATGGGTTGAGAAACCACTACTTAACAGAAATGATTTCATTTTAATGACCATATACTTCTATTAATTTGAGAGCCATTTTATTAGCATTTATCTGCTCATGTTGCTTTGGAATTTTATCACAGTTTTTTCTATAATTTAAAACAATTATTTTATTTATTTATTTATTTTTAATTTTATTTTTAATATAGTTTATGATTATGCTATTACAGTTGTCCCATTTAGCCCTTTCACTTCCCTCTACCCTGCACACCCTCTCCCACCCGCATTGCCCCCCTTTAGTTCATGTCCGTGTGTCATACTTATGAGTTCTTTAGCTTCTACATTTCCCATATTATTCTTACCCTCCCCCTGTCTATTTTCTACCTACCATCTATGCTACTTATTGTCTGTACCTTTTCCCCCTCTCTCCTCCTTCCACTCCCCTGTTGATAACCATGTGATCTCCATTTCTGTGGTTCTGTTCCTGTTCTAGTTGTTTGCTTAGTTTGTTTTTGTTTTTGTTTTTGTTTTAGTTATGGTTCTTAATAATTGTGAGTTTGCCGTCACTTTACTGTACATATTTTTTCTCTTATTTTTCTTAGATAAATCCCTTTCACATTTTATATAATAAGGGCTTGGCGATGATGAACTCCTTTAACTTGACCTTATCTGAGAAGCACTTTATCTGCCCTTCCATTCTAAATGAAAGCATTGCTGGATAGAGCAATCTTGGATGTAGATCCTTGCCTTTCATGACTTGGAATACTTCTTTGCAGCCCTTCCTTGCCTGTAAGGTCTCTTTTGAGAAATCAGCTGACAGTCTGATGGGAACTCCTTTGTAGGTAACTGTCTCCTTTTCTCTTGCTGATTCTAGGATCCTCTGCTTAATTTTCATCTTGGGTAATGTAATTATGATGTACCTTGGTCTGTTCCTCCTTGTGTCCAACTTCTTTGGGACTCTCTGAGTTTCCTGGACTTCCTGGAAGTCTATTTCCTTTGCCAGATTGGGGAAGTTCTCCTTTATTATTTGTTCAAATAACTTTTCCACTTGTTGCTCTTCCTCTTCCCCTTCTGGTACCCCTATAATTCAGATGTTGGAATGTTTAAGATGTCCTGGAGGTTCCTAAGCCTCTCCTCATTTTTTTTTGAATTCTTGTTTCTTCCTTCTTTTCTGACTGTATGTTTCTTTGTTCCTTCTGGTCCACTCCATTGATTTGAGTCCCAGTTTCCTTTTCATCATTTTTGGTTCCCTGTACATTTTCCTTTATTTCACTTAGCATAGCCTTCATTTGTTCATCTAAATTGCAACCAAATTCAACCAATTCTGTGAGCATCCTGATTACCAGTGCTTTGAACTGTGCATCTGATAGGTTGGCTATCTCTTCATTGCTTAGTTGTATTATTTCTGGGGCTTTGATCTGTTCTTCTGTTTGGGCCATTTTTTTATCTTGACTCATCTGTTAGGTAGTGAGGGGCAGAGCCTTAGGTGTTCACCCAGGTGGGGTAACCCACGTCATTGGGTTGTGACATAGTATGTGGGGGAGGAGTCCAAGAGGGAACAATGGTGCTTGCTCTGCTCTCTGCTGGAGTTTAGTCACTTCCACCACTTCCCCCAAGCAAACTGGGCCCTTCTGGTGCTGATTCCCATGTGGGTGGGTTTGTGTATGTTCTAGGACCCTGTGAGTCTCTCCAACGAACTCTTCTGTGAGGCTGGGAGTTTCTCCTGGCACCTCAACCCCCACAGGTGTTTTCAATTGGTGTTTTGAGACTTTATTTCCCCACACCATAGCCCTGGGTTGCACAGTCTGTCTTGCTCTTCAGTTTTACCTGGTTTATCTGCGTGCAAATGTGGAACAGCATGGTCCATCAGCCACCATGTATGCTGTGCCCCTCCACAGTCCACTACCTCGCTGGGTCCATCCGCTGCCACCTTGTGCACCCGGGATCAGCCAGCCACCCCTTTGCCAAGAGTCCTCTCTACCTAGCCGCCTGGCTCCGCCCCTCCTGCATGAATATTTCTTCTCTAATTCCTTGGTTGTTGGACTTCCATACAGTTCAATTTTCTGTCAGTACTGGTTGTTTTTTTGTTTCTAAATTTTTGTTGTCCTTATTTTGGTTGTGCGAGAAAGCACACTGTGTCTACCTACAACTCTGGCCGGAAATCACAGTTTTCAATAGTAAATTTTAAACAGCCATATTACCAATACTACTAATATATTCAATAGCTATTTTTCAAATGTATCTTTTGGTCATCATTGTAAACAAATGGTTGCTTTATTATTAAGACAACTTAAAAATATAGAGTATAGACAACTGTGTGCCTTTTGGTAGTGGTGGTAGAACAGGATCCTGCACCAATTCTGAATCCCAAGGTAATATTTTTTTTAGAACATTTTTTAGTTTATTTGAGCCAAAATTATGACAACTGCAGAGAAACAAAATCTCAATGGATTGAGAAAATGCTCTCAAAAATGACAGTTTTATAGTTTACTTTGTAAATTGTAATCAAAAGAGGAGACATAACAAGGTTATATGAAATCCCCCTTGGTGGTAGATTAGAGAGATGTGGGAAAGCAATGTAAAATGAGACTGGATAAAGAGTAAAATGGAGAGACACATACTTTTTTTACATTGGTAAGCATAGGGTAGTTAACTGTTCACATTTACAACACAAAGATGGTATCTGGGCAATAAGATAACAATGAGGGGGCCTGGGGTCTCATGCTCTCATGAAAGATTGTGCCTTGAGTAGACTGGAAAAGGGGGAATTACTTGGACAGTTTATAGTTCTGTTGTCATTGATGCAAAAAGAGAAGACACAGACTCAGTGTGGTTGACCTTTGTCAAGGAAGATACTGACCCAGGACATGACTACCTGCTAAGACTTGCTTTTAGTTAGAAAGTTTTATTTCCAGACCAGCGTATGTGGTTATTTTAGGTCTCTGAGCCTGTGAGGTCACCATGCAGGACTCCCCTGAGCTCATCAGGTTTGGTATGTGGCCCGTTTTTTGTCCTCAGGTGTCATGTTGGTAGCTTAAAGTCTGTCATGGGGGAGTATTTATATCAAGGAAAGAGGCAAAATCTACAAAGTAGGCATTCTGGTCTATCCACAGAAAGACAGTTGTTAAACTTTTGTCACATACTATTGCTTCTAGGCCTTTGCATATATGGTCCCCTCTTCCCCAAGGTCATATTTGATCTTGAATGTCACTCAACAGAAATTGTGAAAGTAAAAATTTCCACATTTAGTAATGCTTTAGTTATCTACAATGTTTGAAATTCAGTCTCCTGTATTACTGAAGCACTGAAGTATTTTAAGTTTCTCTTGAAATCCTAAGACATAAATTTTTTAAAAGGGGAAAGGGAAAAATAAAATATGCAATAGTCATATCCCAGAAATAACAATTCTTTTTTTAATTTTATTTAAATTGTTGTTGCAGTACAATTTTCTATCTTTTACTCCCATCCCAACCCACCCACCCAACCCTCAACCCTCCCCTCCTCCCCCCCATTTCCACCCGCTCCTAGTTTTTATCTATGTGTCCTTATACTCGTTCCTGTAAACCCTTCCCCATTTCCCCTTTTCCCCTGAAATTCCCCCGAAATTCCCCCTCCTCTCCCCTCTGAACTCAATTCTTAATCTTTTCATGTAAGTCTACTCAGACTCTATCTCTTTCTCTCCCAATATTCTTATAAAATTATTCAATGTTGACCATACTTGCTTACAACCTGAGTTGTTTTGCATCTAAATATATATAGCAAACATATTTCTATTCAGTGAGTATATTTATATGATATTTTAATGGTGGCATAGAATTAAATTGGCTGCATCTTAATTATTGAAAACTGAAGTTGACTCCAATATTTTCTATTAAAATAATGCTTGATGGAACAGCTTATAGCTATATAGTTGTACATAAATTTAATATTTTCTTAATCTTAAAAATGTAATTGTTGAGCTAAAAGGTATATAAAGTTATAAGCTTTTGAAATATATTACCACAATAGTCCTACTACAGGGCACAAGCTTGCCACTTCCTCTTCTCCCTTTTCAAAACTAGGTATTGTCTTTTTTTACTTTTGCTAATTTGGTAGGTAAAGTGAGGCCTCTTTAAATGAAGTACTTTCACAACTAGTGATATTAAACAAATGTTTGTGTTTATTGGTCATTGGCATTCTAGCATGTCTTATAAATTGCTTTTCTTGAAATATTTTGCCTCATATTGTAGGGGTGTCCTTTTGTTCTTTTTCATTTGTCAAGATTCTTCATAAAATTAAGAATGATAACCTTGGTTTTATAGTCTTTAGTCTCCCCCACTTTTTATCATCACCTGAGAATATATTTATTGGTTTTAGAGAGAGAGGAAGGGAGATGGAGAAAAAGAGAGAAGCATTGATGTGAGAGAAAAACATTGATCGGTTGCCTCCTGTAACTGGGGATCCAACCTGCAACCTTTACAACTGAGTCACCCAACCAGGGCAGTTTTTCCCACTTTTGATTTGACTTTTAACTTCATAAGAACTCTTTTTTGTCATTCAAAAGTTCTAAATTTTTTAAAGGTTTTATTTATTTATTTTTAGAGAGAGGAGAAGGGAGGGAGAAAGAGAGACAGAGAAACATCCATGTGAGAGACACATCAATCAATTGCCTCTCACACAAGCCCCAACAGGGGACCAGGCCCGGAAACCAGATATGTGACCCAACAGGTGTCAAATCAGTGACCTTTAGGCTTGCATGATGATACCTAGGTCACTGAGCCACACCAGTCAGGGCCAGAAGTTCTAAATTTTTATTGACAAGTCTGGTGATATTGTCTTCATTACTGGTATTAGGTATTCTTTCAGAAAAAAAATTGTGCTCCTCTTTTATTGTGCCAGCTACTGTGCCAAACACTGAGGATAAACAGTGAACAACAATATTATTAAGCAACTGCTTAGTACTTGTTCTAAGTTTCATAAAGGTTTCCACTAATTTCATAGTCACAATAGTGCTACACTCACTTTACAGATAAGGAAACTGAGGAAGAAAGTCCAAAGTCACAAATAACTTGGTCCAAAGTCACAAATCCAATAAGTAGGGGAGCCAACATACAAATCTGGCCCAGACCCACACTTTTAAATACTATTCAATACTGCCTGTTGACACAGCAGACAGAAAAGATCACATGACCCATGTACTCAAGGAGTTTATATTAAACAAATGTGATCAATATTACACAGTATAAGATGCTATGGGAACATGCTACAAGAAACCAAACCTAATTTGAGGAGGACATAAAAAGTGAAAAACGAAGCAGCCATATGCTAAAAAAAATCCTCTTTTATTACATGACTATGTATACTGTCACTTAAAATTTTGAGGACTCTAAAGGTTTTATTGAGTTGGCCAAAAAGTTCATTTGGTTTTTTTCATAAGATGGCTCTGGTAGCACTAAGTTGCCTTTACCCTTCATTCAAAACAATTTTGTTAGATTGTATTGTGACAGCTGTCATGTCAGAGTACATTTTTAAAGAGACATTAAAATTGGTGAATTTTTGTGTAACCATTTTAATATTGAAGATGGAAGAAAATATGCAACATTTTTGGCATATTATGCTTCATTATTTCAAGAAAAGTAAAAACATAACTGAAACACACACACAAAAAGATTTGTGTAGTGTATGGAAAGGGTTCTGTGTGTGACTGAACATACAAAAGTGCTTTGCAAAGTTTTGTGCTGGAGATTTCACGCTGGAAAATGAACCATGGTTGGGTAGAGCCATTGAAGTTGAAAGCGATCAAATTGAGACATTAATTGAGAACAATCAAGTTATACCATGAGGGGAGATAGCCAACATACTCAAAATATCCAAATCATTAAAGTTATTGGTGAAAATGAAAAATGTGTCTTTTATTTTATGAAAAAAAAAATACCATACAGAGTTTTTGGCCAACCCAGTATTTTATACATTAGATCTTCAATGTGCATGTATTTTGGAATATACTATCAAGATCTAACTTTATCTTCCTGGTCAATAGGCCCTTTTAGCATTATAGAATGTCCTTTTGTGCTCTGTTTTTAAAGTATATTTTATTGATTGTGCTATTACACTTGTCCCATTTTTTCTCCCCTTATCCTATTCTGTCCTACACCCATGCTCCCTCTAGCATTCCCCTTCCCTTAGTTCACGTCCATGAGTACTACATATAAGTTCTTTGGCCTCTCCAATTCCTATACTATTCTTAACCTCCCCCTGTCTATTTTCTACCTACCATTTATGCTTCTTATTCCCTGTACCTTATCCCCCATTCTCCCTGCTCTTCACCCCCACTGATAACCCTCCATGTGATCTCCATTCTTGATTCTTTTCCTGTTCTAGTTGTTTGCTTAGTTTGTTTTTGTTTTTGTTTTGTTTTTAGTTTCCACTGTTGATAGTTGTAAATTTGTTCTAATTTTACTGTTAATATTTTTTATCTTTTTCTGTTTCTTCAATAAGTCTTTTTAACATTTCATTAATAAGGTTTTGGTAATGATGAATTCCTTTAACTTGACCTTATCTGGAAAGCACTTTATCTGCCCTTCCATTGTAACTGATAGCTTTGCTGTATAGAGTAATTAAGATTGTAGGTCCTTGCATTTCATGACTTGAAATACTTCTTTCTAGCCCCTACTTGCCTGCAAAGTTTCTTTTGAGAAATCAGCTGACAGTCTTATGAGAACTCCTTCATAGTTAACTCTCTCCTTTCCTCTTGCTGCTTTTAAGTTTCTCTCCTTATCTCTAATCTTGGCTAATGTAATTATGATGTGTCTTGGTGTGTGCTTCCTTGGGTCCAGCTTCTTTGGGACTCTCTGAGCTCCTGGACTTGGATGTCTATTTCCTCTGCTAGATTAGGGAAGTTTTCTTTCATTATTTTTTCAAATAAGTTTTCAATTTCTTACTCTTCCTCTTCTCCTTCTGGCACCCCTGTGATTCAGATGTTGGAACATTTAAAGTTGTTCCAGAGGTTCCTAAGCCTGTTCTCATATTTTTGGATTCTTGGTGTTGGTTTTTTTTTATTCTGTCCCTGTTGAATGTTTATTTCTTCCTTTTGTTCCAAATTATTGTTCTGAGTCCCTCTTTCCTTCCCTTTACTGCTGGTTCCCTGTATGTTCTTTATTTCACTTTGTATAGCCTTCACTTCTTCCTTTATTTTGTGTCCATACTCAGTCATTTCTGTGAGCATCCTGATTACCAGTGTTTTGAACTCTGCATGTGATAGGTTGGCTATCTCCTCATTGCTTAGTTCTTTTTCTGGAGTTTTAATCTGTTCTTTCATTTGGGTCATATTTCTGGTGCACCTGTTATGTTACAAGGGGCAGAGGCTTAGGTATTCACCAGAGTTGGGCAACCCACTTTGTTCCATTGTGGCACTGTATGTGGAGGAGGGGTCAGAGAGGGAACAATGTCAATTGCTTGACTCTTGCCCAGCTTTCAGTCACTTCACTTGCTTCCCACAAATGGATTGTGCCCTTTCAGATGCTGATTCCCAGGTGAGTGGGTTTGTGTACATTCTAGAATCCCGTGGGCCACTCCAACAGCCTCTCTTGTGAGGCTGGGAGTTTCTCCTGCTGCCAACCCCCCCCCCACCCACAGATTTTTATAGCCAGAGGTTTTAAGGCTTTTGTTTCCCACTCTGGAACCGTGGGTTGCATGGTCTGTCTTGCTCCCCAGTTGTTCCTCCCAGCTTATCCACATGCTAATGTGCTGTATCCTGGTATGCTGGCTGCCACCTCACCTGCCCACGTCAGCCAGCCAGTGCCTTGTCACATGTCCTAGCTGCCCCTGCTTTCTGTCTCCACCCCTCCTACCAGTCTGAATGAATGTTTCTTCTTTAACTCCTTGGCTGTGAGACTTCCATACAGTTTCATTTTCTGGCAGTTCTGATTGTTTTCTGTCTTTAAAATTGGTTGTTATTGTTCTTTTGATTGCCTGAGGAGGTGAAGCATATCTGCTTTTGCCTCCATTTTGTGGAAGCCCTTCTGTATCCTTTTTGACAATATTTGACTTGAAGTCTATTTTGTCTGATATGACTATGACCACCCTTGCTCCCTTTTGGTTTCCATTTGCATGGAATATCTTTTTCCATCCTTATCATTACAACAGTCTATTTTAAAGCAATAACATCAATCACACATAGAAACTACTCCTTTACATCTCACCCTCCCCACTTAAAGTTATTAATATATCAAATTTCATCATTTTATATTATATATCTATCCATTAACCTAGATTACAGTTATTGTTATTTTTATGCTTTTATATTAAATTCTATCACAGAATGAAAAGTGATGAACTTACCACCATTCCAGCATACAGGATTTTTAATTCATCTATATATGTACCTTTGCCAGAGGTTTATAATTTTATATGTGTATACTTTTGTGTTGCTAATGTCCTTTTATTTCCACTTGAAGAAGTCCCTTTCTTCCTCTCCTTCTCCTTGCCCTTCCCATTATTATTATTATTATTTCTCCTCCTCCTCCTCATCCTCTTCCTCCTCCTCCTCCTTCTTCTTTTGAAGGCAGGTTTAGGGTTAATGAACTTCCTTAGCTTAGCTTTTGTTTATATGGGGAAGTCTTAATTTCTCCTTCATCTCTGATGACAATTTTGTAGAATAGTGTTGTCAGCTAGCAATTTCTTTTTCTTTCAACACTTTGAATGTATAATCCTACCCCCTTCTGGCCTATAAATTTTCTGCTGTGAAATTCTTTGATAATCTAATAGGAGCTCCCTTGACGTACATAATAAGTTGTTTCATTTGCTACAACTTATCAACTGACTTGTAGAGTTTCATAAAGGCTTTTGGACTATATATCATTGTTAAGTTGGTGTCTCTGTGCAGGATTGAAATTCTGAGGCTTTCTATTCCACCATCTTGTTGTTTTCACCCTCCTGTTCTTTATATATATTTACATGCTTTACTGATCTAAATACACAAAGCTTAACTGAATTTTCTGTGACCCAGTATCATTTTTAAAAACTTATTATAATTAAGTATGGTAGCATAAAATATATTGAAAACTCAGTTGACTCTTGAATTGTCCCAAGATTAATGCTGGAATAAACCTTTTCTTTATGTCATTACTGTTAAATTGTTTTTTAATATTTAGGTCATTTTTTTTCTTTGTCATATAGTACATCAGAGAATAAATATTATCAGCCTTGTGCTAGGTGCCAGAAGTGCTTCTTTGTCAGTCTCTGGCCATCCTTCTACTTCACCTGATCTCTTAGGTAGGGTGTATAAAGGGAGCACATTGTAGCTTATTAGGTCTTTGTTTTCTAGCCTACTTATTCAATAAACATTTTTCAATAAACTGAATATAATAAATTACTTAAGAGTACATACATAATTTATCAAATAGATCTGTATAGCCCTAACCAGTGTGTCTCAGATAGTTGGGCATAGTAATGAAAAGCAAAAGGTCACTGGTTCAATTCCCAGTCAGGGCACATGCCTGGGTTGTGGATTTGATCCCTGGTCAGGCATGTGTGACAGGCAACCAATTGACGTTTCTCTCTCACACTGATGTTTCTCTCCCTCTCTTCTCCCTCCATTCCCCCTCTCTAAAAGCAAGTAAATAAAATCTTTAAAAAACAAATAGACCTGCATATGTTTTTATGTTTGTTAATATTAATATGTTAATTTTCATGTATTTTCTCTATAAAATACATATCTTTTTTCATGAATCACCAAGGTTTGATTTTCTGATGTGTTGGGTGTGTAAAAATATTTCTCTATGAAATGTTTTCCTTATGTGTACCCCTACAGGTGATATACTTAATAATCTTGCAACCTCTTTTCGGAATATACTTATTGGTATGCTGGTAGGAATAATTTTGGGATTTTTTGTTCGCTATTTCCCAAGTGAAGATCAGGTAAATAAAAAATAAATCAACTTTACAAGTATAGTATTAGCTATTTCTTTCAAAAATTTGAACTTTTAGAAGATGCATGAAATATGAAATTTGATGTTTACTGTCTTTTCCCAAAAGTAGCCTCCAATGACTACTCTGTTTAAAACTGAGCACAGTTGTGACTGATATGTGTCAATGCCCTGACTGAAGTATTTGCTTTCACACTAGGCAAATAAGGAATATTAGAAAAAAATTTGATGAAGCACTGTGTAAATCATATATTTATAAATGTAATGAAGATGTTGAGAGAAAAAATATATATAACTTTTATAAAAGGTTAGGTACTGATTAAATACACTTAAATGAAAGTATGTTTTGTAACCTGTTCTGTATGAACATATCTTTTTACTATGTTGTTGGTGAAGTTAAGCTTCCTAATGAATAATAAATTTATAATGGATACTTGAAAAGAAAAAATACTTAGTTCAGAATACCATATCCATTCCACCCCACCCTTCTTTCTTTTTTTAATTGTTGTTCAAATACAGTTGTCTCCTTTTTCACCCCACCAAAACCCCCCTTCCCACCCATCCCTACCTCTCACCCTCAAACCTACCCCCTTTGGCTTTGTCCATGTGTCCTTCATACATGTTCCTTGAAGGCCCTTCCCCTATTATCCCCCATTATCCCTCTCCCTCCTCCTCTCTGGTTACTGTCAGTTTGTTCTTAATTTCAATGTCTCTGGTTTTATTTTGCTTGCTTGTTTTGTTGATTAGGTTCCACTTATAGGTGAGATCATATGGTATTTGTCTTTTACCACCTGGCTTATTTCACTTAGCATAATGCTCTCCAGTTCCATCCATGCTGTCACAAAGTGTAGAAGCTCCTTCTTTCTCTCTGCTGCATAGAATTCCATTGTGTAAATGTACCGTAGTTTTTTGATCCATTCATTTACTGATGGGCACTTGGGCTGCTTCCAGTACTTGGCTATTGTAAATTGTGCTGCTATGAACATTGGGGTGCATAGGTTCTTTTGAATTGGTGTTTCAGGATTCTTAGGATATAATCTGAGTAGTGGTATTGCTGGGTCAAAATGCAGTTCCATTTTTAGTTTTCTAAGGAAACCATACTGTTTTCCACAGTGGTTGCACCAGTCTGCATTCCCACCAACAGTGCACTAGGCTTCCCTTTTCCACCCCACCTTTCTTCACTAAATTACCTTTTGACTTCTGACAATTTTTTCTAGTCTCTTTTACTTCACACTTTTCCTTAAACATTTTAGAGGAGATAGACTCGCATTTATCTCTGTATATTTTCTGAGTTAAATTCACTCCCTTTGACTAAGGTAACACTACTAAACTCAGACTTTCCCTGCCCTGAAGAATGTGCCATTACTCTTGTATTTCTGTAACATCCACCTCAATTCGCCTATAACAATTGTTATAGCTAATGAGGTATTCAGAAATTTTTTTTAAGAATTCATAGCATATGTTATATAGAACTACAAGTCATATTGGTCTCTTTTTGTTTTTTCTTCACTTACAAAGTATTTTTTTATTTTTATTAGACATTTTTAGAGCCATTTAGATTTACAGGAAAATTGAGGTTATTAAAGTTATATTGGGGAGGGGTTTGTTTTTTTGCTTTTTCATTAAATTTATTGAGGTGACGCTGGCTAATAGGGTCATATAGGTTTTAAGTGTACATTACTGTGATACGTGATCTGTATATTGCATTGTGTGCCCACCACCCAAAGTCAAATCATCTTCCATCACCATATATTAATCCACCTTTACACATTACTAGCCCCCCGCCACAACCCTTCCCTCTTGTAACCACCATACAAGAGGGAAGGGTTATATAATAGCCTGTGTCTTTAAGTTTCAGTTTTATATCCCATATGTGAATAAATTCATACAGTTCTTAGCTTTTTCTGACTTTTCATTCAGCATAATATTGTCAAGGATCACCCACGTTGTCACAAATGACAGTATTGCACCTTTTCTTATGGCTCAGTAGCATTCTGTAGTACATATGTACCCCATCTTCTTTATGCAATCTTCTATCGCAGGACATGTAGGCTGCCTCCATGTCTCAGCCACCATGAATAATGCTGCAATGAGCATAGGAGTGTATATATATTTTTGAATAAATGTTTTTGAGTTTTTCAGGTAGAAATGCAAAAGAGGGATTGCTGGGTCATACTCTGCTCTTAATTTTTTGAGGAAACACCATAATGTTGTCCACAGTGGCTATCCCAGTTTTCATTCCCACCAGCAGTGAATGAGGGTTTGTTTTTCTCCACAACCTCTCCAACCCTTGTTATTGTCTGTCTTGTTGATAATATTCATTCTAACAGGTGTGAGCTGGTATCTCATTGTAGTTTTCATTTGTATTTACTTAATAGCTCATAAAGTTAAGTATCTTTTCATATATCTGCTGGACATTTGTATGTCTTCTTGGGAGAAGTGTCTGTTCTGGTCTTTGGCCCATTTTTTAATTGGATTGTTTATTTGTTTGGTGTTGAATTGTATGAGTTCTTTATATGTTTTGGATATTGACCCATTGTTTGCAAATATCATCTCCCATTTGGTTGGTTGCTTTTTGTTTTGTTGGTGGTTTCTTTTGCTGTCAAGAAGCTTTTTAATTTGATACAGTCCCATTCATTTATTTTTTAAATTCCATTTATTTTTAGAGAGGAGAAGAGAGGGAGAAAGAAAGGGAGAGAAACATCGATGTGTGAATGATAGATTGATCAGTTGCCCACCGCATGCCCCCAACTGGGTGCCTGGCCCACAACCCTGGCATGTGCCCTGACTGGGAACCAAACTCACAATCTTTGATTCTCAGGCCAGCATTCAATCCATCAGCCAGGGCCCATTCATTTATTTTTACCTTTATTTCTTTTGCCTTTGGGCACAAATTCATGAAACATTCTCTACAACCAAGGTCCATAAGTTTAGTACCTATGTTCTCTTTTGTGTAATTTATTGTTTAAGATCTTATATATTAGGTCTTTGATCCATTTTGAAACTGTAATCTAGTTTCATTGTTTTGCATGTGGCTTTCCAATTTTCCCAGCACCATTTATTGAAGGGACTTTCTTTTCTTCATTGTGTGTTATTGGCTCCTTTGTCAAAAATTATTTGCCTGTAGATATATGGTTTTATTCTGGGCTCTCAATCCTGTTCCAATGGTCAGTTAATGCATTTTTCTGCCAGTTTCATGCTGATTTGATTTTTGTAGCTCTGTAGTGTGATTTGAAACCAGGTAATGTGATGCCTCTGGCTTTATTTTTTTTCTCAAGATTGCTTTGGCTATTTGGGGTCTTTCGTGGTTCCATACAAATCTGATGTTTTTTTGTTCTACTTCTTTAAAAAACGACATTGGGATTTTGATTGGTATTGTATTAAATCTGTGTATTGCTTTGGATAATATGCCCATTTTAACTATGTTGATTCTTCCAATCCATAAATGTAGAATATTTCTCCATTTCATGGTATATTTTTCAATCTCTTTTGATAACAATTTGTAGTTCAGTATATAGGTTTTTCACATCCTTTGTTAAGTTTATTCCTAGGTGTTTTTTTCCTTTGGTTGCAATTGCAAAAGGAGTTGGTTTTTAATTTCTTTTTCTGAAGTTTCATTATTAGGATATAGGAAAACAGTGGATTTTTGTACATTGATTCTGTGTCCTGCAACTTTATTACATTTGTTTATTGTTTCTAATGGGTTTTTGGTGAAGTCTTCAGGGTTTTCTATGTACAAAATAGATTCATGTTATCTGGAAAAAGTGACACTTTTATTTCTTCCTTCCCAATTTGGATGGATTTTATGTCTTTCTGTTGCCAGATTTCTCTGGCTAGGACTTCCAGAACTGTGTTGAATAAGAACAGTGAGAGTAGACATCCTTGTCTTGTTCCTGATTTTAGATAAAAAGCTTTTAGTTTTTCACTGTTGAGTATAATATTAACTGAAGGTTTGTCATATATGGTCTTTTTTATGTTGAGGTACTTTCCTTCTATACCCATTCTATTGAGTGTTTTAATCATAAATGGATTTTGTATCCTATCAAGTGCCTTTTGTACATCTATTAATAAGATCATATAAATGTTATCCTTTGTTTTGCTAATGTGGTATATTACACTGATCAATTTGCATGTGTTGAACCATCCTTGGATGGTTCATCCCTGAAATGAATCTAACTTGATTGTGATGTATTATTTTTTTTAACATATTGTTGTATTTGATTTGCTAGTATTTTGTTTAGGATTTTTGCATCTATATTCATCAGAGATATTGGTCTGTAGTTTTCTTTTTTTGTGTTATCCTTGCCAAGTTTTGGTTTCAAGGTTATACTGGATTCATCAAATGTTTTAGGAGGTATTTCCCCTTCTTCAGTTTTTAGTAAGAATTTGGAAGGAATAGGTATCAAGTCTTCACTGAACGTTTGGTGGAATTCACTAGAGGAGCCATCTGGTCCTGAACTTTTATTTTGGGGGAGGTTTTTAATGGTTGTTTCCATTTCTTCACTGTTTATTGATCTCTTTATATATTCCAATTCTTCATGACCCAGTCTAAAAATGTTATATTTCTAGGGACTTGTTCATTTCTTCTAGGTTATTGCACTTGGTGGCATACAGTCTTTCATAGTATTCTAGTATGATCCCTTTTATAACTGTGATGTCTTCACTTATGCTCTTTCATTTATGATTTTTATATGAGTCTTTTTCTCTTTTTTTCTTTAGTCTACCCAGGGGTGTATCAATATTATTATCTTGTCAAATAATCAGCTTATTGTTGATTAACTTTTTGTATAGTCTCTTATTCTCTATTTCATTCAATTCTGCTTTAATTTTTATTATTTCCTTTCTTCTGCTAATTTTGGGTTGCTTTTGATCTTCCTTTTCTAGTTTCTTAAGATGCAATGTTAGGTTGTTTACTTGGGATTTCTCTTGTTTCTTGAGATAAGCCTGTAAAAATATAAACTTTGCTCTTATTACTGCTTTCACTGCATTCCAGAAGTTTTGATATGTTGTATTGTCATTCTCATGTGTTTCTATATCTTTTTGGTCTCACCTTTTATTTCTTTTTGACCCAGTCTTTTTTTAGCAATATGTTGTTTGGTCTCTATATTTGCGGGTTTCTTTACATCCTTTGTGCAGTTAATTTCTAATTTCAAATATTGTGGTCAGAGAATTTGTTGATGTTAGTTTTGTGACCCAAAATATATTCTATCCTTGAGGTGTTCCATGTGCACTGGAGAAGAATGCATTATTTGATATTCTGGGATGAAAGGCTCTGTAGATGTCAATTATTGTCATTTGGCCTACTGTATCATTTAAGGCCAATATTTCTTTATTGATTTTGTTCTGTTTGGATGATCTATCTAGAGCTGTCAATGAACTACTAAGGTCACCAACTATTATTGTGTTTTTGTCTGTTTCTCTCTTTAGTTCTGATAGTAGCTGCTTTATATATTTCAGTGATCTGAATGAGTTTGTGTGTGTGTGTATATATACATATATGTATACATGTACATGTATACATGTATATATATTTAATCCTCACCTGATGATATGTTTATTGATTTTAGAGGGAGAAGAAGGGAGAGAGAGAAAGAGAAACATCAATGTGAGATAGAAACATGGATTGATTGCCTCCCATGTGCACCCCGATTGAGAATCAAACCCACAACCTTTTTGGTGCATGGGACAATGCTCCAAGCAACTGAGGCACCCAGCCAGGGCAGAGAGCATGTATATTAAGAAGTGTTGTGTCTTCTTGATATAGTGTCCCTTTTATCATTATAAAATGTCTATCTTTTTTTACTTGTTACCACTCTTATCTTGAAATCTATTTTGTCAGATGTAAGTATGATGCTTGTTTTCTGTGGATGCTATTTGCTTGGAGAATCATTTTTCACCCTTTCACTTTGAGTCTAACTTTTTCACTTTATGTCTCCTGAAGGCAGCATATGGTTGACTTGTGTTTTTTTTATTTGATCTGCTACTCCGTGCCTCTTTATTGGTGAATTCAGTCCATTTACATTTAGGGTGATTACTTATGTGTGAGGATTTCCTATAGCCATTTTATCTTTTGTTTCCTGGTAGCTCTGTGCATCCATTGGTCTTTTTCTCTTGTGATTGATTCTGTTGTCTTTGTTTGGTGGTATTCCATACTTCTTTTCTCTGTTTCCTCTTTTTTTAAATATGTATCTCTGTTTTAGAGGATGTCTTTCATGTGATTACCATTAGGTTTATGAAAAAGAAATTTTCATATATACAGTAGTCCTTTTCTTATTAAATGCATCATATCTCCATCCTCCTTTGCAAATTAAGAACTTTGCCCCTCCCCTTTTATGTTTTTGTTATCAAAGATTATCCCGGTTTATGCTATATGTTTGTTGGTGATCTTATTCATAGTTTTGTGACCCTTGTTTTTTGTTTCAGGAAGAAAAACCTTCTTGAGTATTTCCTGCAATAAATGTCTTCTAGTGCTAAATTCCCTCATCTTCTGGTCTGAAAACATCTTTATTTCTCCTTCATATTTAAAGAATAACTTTGCTGGATATATTTTTCTTGGGTAATTTCTTTCAGTGGTTTGAATATTTGGTTCCAATCTCTTCTGGCTTCTAGAGTTTCTGCTGAGAAGTCCTATGATAACCTGATGGGCTTTTCTTTATAGATTACTTTCTTCTTTTCTCATGTTGCCTTGAGAATTGTTTCTTTGTCATTAATATTTGACAGTTTTAATACAACATGCCTTGGAGAAGACCTCTTTGTGTTGAGGTAACTAGTTGTTCTGTTTGCTTCTTAGATTCAAGGGCTGGCTCTTTCGATGGGTTTGGGAAGTTCTCATGAACTATTTGTGTGAATAGGTTCTCCATTCCCTTATTTCCCTCTTCTTCTTCTGGTATGCCTATTATTTTCATAGTGCTCTTTCTGATGGAGTCAGATAGTTTTTGTAGAGTTATTTCATTTTTTCAGTGCTCAAGTCTCTTCTTCACTCTGTATCATTTCTACACTTCTATCTTTGATATCACTAATCTATTTCTCTATCTGGTCTGTTCTATTTCCTATGCTCACTAATTCACATCTTGATCTCTTTTAAGAGTTCTACATGTCCAAAATTTCTGTTTGCTTCCTTTGTAAAGTTTCAGCCTCTTTAGTAAATACTCCTTTTGTTCATTGGTTTTCTGAGCACACTAAATTGTCTGTCTGCATTTTCTCACATCTCACTGAGTATTTTCAGAACAGCAATCTTGAATTTTCTGTCATTTATGTTGCATATTTTCATGTCTCTAAGTTTGTTTTCTGGAGATTTTTAAATTTGCTTTCCTAGTTGCCTTCCTACCTTGGTTATTCATGGTATTTGATTGATTCCTTCTCTGTCTAGGCATCTAGCACTCCTCAAGTAGGTTGATAAGAAATCTTCATATTCTTTTCCAATAGGTAGTGCTGAGTCATAGGTTTTTAGCTCTGTGAAATCCCAGTGCTGTTCTCCACAGCCAGACGCTGCCATCAGTGTAGCTGTGATGTTTAGGGCTTGAGGACTGTGGGGCTGGGGGAAGCAGTCAGCTTCTTTGTTTTGCCTTCCTGGTAATGGCAATGTCAGATCTCATGGGGTTCCCTCATGCACCAACCCAGGGACTGGTCACAGAATGCACCATTTGCTCAGGGCAAAGAGCAATTCTGTAGTACCAGTTGTTGGGTTTACAGAAAATGTGCTCTGAAACCCAACTCCAAGGGTGAAAGGAGGCAACCTGTGGGAGGCTATGAGGCAGGAGGTCTCCATGGCTTTGTTTCCCTGTCTGGAATGTTGCCACACCCCCTTGCTGTGTTTTTGCCCAGGTTTCTGTGTGCAGCTGCAGCTGGTACTACCCATTCCTGCAGGCTTGCCCACTGAATCCCTTTGTTCACCCCAGCTGAGGGGAGAGCCAGCCACATCCAGATTCTTCCCCTCTCCAGGCTGGGTCCCACAGTGAGATACCCTCCCCCTCACCCCTGCTGCAGGACTATGTTCATAGCTATCTCAGTCCTTTTCCCTTCTCACATCCCCTATTTGTTCCCACCTGCCCACCTTAGATGTCTCAATGCACCGATCTCTCAGGCATGTTTGTCAGTCAAGCAGGGAATCTTTTGTTGAGTTATAGCTGTTCAAACTTCAAGGAGAGAGACCAAAGGGGTCTCTCACAACACCATTTCTCTGACAAGTTAAAGTATTTCAATTACTTTACTGATGTTAGTATCAGAGAAGTGGCAGATAATCTCAGTAATTACAAATTTCATCACTTGTTACAAAGTCCACTAAAATATATGGATAGGAAGAAAGTCAAATTTTTAGACATTATTTAAAATAATATATAGAGACATGGTATCAAAAGGTTACTAATAAATGATAAACAATGTATTATATTATATATTTAATATCAATTAATTTTGTAAAAATTTATCTAGGCTAATCTTCCACTGAAGAGAGCAGCCCTCATTCTGAGTATGTGTATCACTGCTGTCCTAGGCAGCAGTCACCTCGGCATACACGGAGCCGGAGGGCTGTGCACACTGATGTTGTCAGTCATTGGAGGAATGAAGTGGTCCAACGGAAAGGTAAGTATTTTTAACACACCATTTTTAATGATAAAATCACTGCATTTTTTATATTGAAATGGACATTTAGGAAATCTCATTCTAATTGGAAGATACTCTAGAAGTTCATATCTTTGAGGAAGTGTACAAATCAATAGAGAATAAAGCATTTAGGAAAATGACCTGCACATGCACAGAAAGGAGCTGAGTTATCACATCAGGCCTAATTTTCCCAAATTTTATGAAATATGATTATATAATGTTATTGATTTAATTATTTTCTTAATTGAAATTTTAGTTATACAATTAATACATGAAAACATGCTCTTAAAAGGTTAAATAATACAGAAGGTCCACATGTAGACCCAATTGTAAAAGACTCCTTTTCCCCACCACTCCTGAATATCCAATGCCCCTTCCCAGAATTAATCATTCCCTCTAATCAGTCCCCTATTTGTAGACATTTAGATCATTTTTACTTTTTGTTATTATTAACAGTGCTGCCATGAATAGTCCTGTTCATGTGTCTTTTTGCAAATATACAGCTCTTCTGTTGGAATATATTCCTAGTAATGGAATTGCTGAATTTAGAAATGTTATGTTTCTATTTTGATGGGTACTGCCAAATAATCCATTCAAAAGTTTTTATTTATTTACACTATTTACTACCAACAATGTAGGAGATTCCCTAACACATCAGCCCCTCAGTGAGTAAAAACTATAACATTGTTTATGAAATATTACTCAGCCATTAAAAAAAAAAACACCAAAATCTTGCCATTTGCAGCAACATGGATATAGGTAGAGGGTACTTAACTAAGTGAAATCAGTCATGCAGAGAAAGACAAATACTGTATCTTTACTTATATGTGTAATATAAAAACAAAACAGCCCTGAGCATTGTGGCTCAGCTGGTTGGGCATCATCCTGCAAAGTGAAAAGCTGTGGGTTCGATTCCCAGTCAGGGTGTACACCTGGGTATTGGGTTCTATCCCTGATTAGGATGCATACAATAGGCAACCGGTAGGTGTTTCTCTCATAGATGTTCCTCTCCCTCTCTTTCACCTTCCCTTCCCCTCTCTCTAAAAAGAAATAAATACAACCTTTTAAAAATAAAACTAAACAACAAAACAAACATGGTAAAACATGGTAAAAACATTCATAGATATAGAGAACAAACTGATGGTTGCCAGAGGGGAGTGGGGTGAGGGAATGGGTGAAAAAGGTGAAAGACAATAAGAGGTACAAACATACAACTGTAACATAAATAAGTCACACTGATGTAAAGTATAGCACACAGAATATAGTCAATAGTATTATAATAATTTTGTTTATGATGTCTTTTGTCTAGAAGTAAAATTTCCTATAGTCAAACCAGTGAGTTCTTCCTTTTTTACTTTGGATTCAGTATCTTATTTAAGAAAGATTTTTTAGCCCTGGCTGGCGTAGCTCAGTGGATTGAGCGCAGGCTGGGAACCAAAGTGTCCCAGGTTCGATTCCCAGCCAGGGTACATTCCTGGGTTGCAGGCCATAACCCCCAGCAACCGCACATTGATCTCTCTCTCTCTCTCTCTTTCTCTCTCCCACTCCCTCCCTTCCCTCCCTAAAAATAAATAAATAAAATATTTTAAAAAAAAAGATTTTTTACTAAAGACTGCAAGATTATAAGACTATAAACATTATAATATCTTCTATATTATCATCTAAAACTTTAGTAGTTTTTGTTTTGTTTTTTCATTTAGCTCTTTAATCCATCTGGAATTTATTTCTGTGAATGCTCTGAGATAAGGATGTGTGTGTGTGTGTTTATATATATTCATAGACATATATATACACACATATAACATATATATATACACACACACACACACACACATATAAGCATATATAAATTAAATAGTCAATTTTGGCCAAATTTTTTATTGACTTACCATTAATTATTCAGTGACCTTTAAGTGCCCCTTTTAACATGACCTCCACCCTCACATATATCTAAGGTCATTTCTGAAATCTAATCTTACTTACCTATTCCTATAGGTGTTCTACTTAAGTCTATCTTAAACCATAACTCATATTTTTACATAGAAGATTTTCTCTCATTTATTTTAAAAGAATTTCTTGCCTTTCCTACCCATATTCTTTCTTAGATAAACTTTAGAATCAGCTTGATTTGTTCCCTACCCAAAATTATACTGGCTTTTTGTTTACTATTCCAATAAAATCAGAATTTAAAATTGAATTAAATGGTTATTAAAGTATAATTAGATAAATACAATTAAAACTACTAGAATTCTCTTTTATATGATAAAGGAAATCAGACAGTAAAAAATTGAACTTTAAGGAATAAAAATAATAAATAGGATAATGTGCTATAACAAGGAAAAAATACTGGTTTTTCTTTGTTTTTCCCTTTTAAACTTCACTTTTATAAATGGCAATCAGAAAACCCAGACATAAAAGGAATAGTTAGAAAGGTAACTTACACCCCAAACAAAGGATATCAAAGTTTTATGTATCTTCTATTTAAATATATAAACCCACATTAAGCTAAAATCTCTTCATCCAAGTTCCTGGAGAAGAGCCAGAGCACTGCTGTGCCCACAGGGGATCTGCTGTTGTAACCACAGCACTGGCAAGTAGTGGTGGGAGAGATTTGTTTCCAGAAGGGGAAGCTGGGCAGGCAACTTAATAAGAATCTATATGTTTTGGTTTGGTTTTAAGGAAAAAATAACTTTGAAGTTTTCAAAATGGGTTCTTTCAAAACAGGCTAACAGATGAGCAATTTTTTCCCCCAGTGGTCGAAGACTATCAGGGTTCACTTTCATAGGACTGGGTTCCAAGGTGATTTTAGTGGGGTGTTTCCCTGATCTTGAGTGTGTTCTCAGCAGGCATGCTGCAGTTCTGTCTTTGTTCTGTTTCCTTACAAAAGCTAGATTTCTTGCTTAACCATCAGAACATATCTCCAAAGGCCTTAGTTATTTCATGAAAAAATTACCAAATATTTTTATTTTATAGCTTTGTGGATTTTTTTAGTCAAATTCTACCTAAGTGTTTGAGTAAAAGAATTAACCAACTTTTAATTTTTATTGTTTTAACATTTCTCCTACAAATAAAATATTTTAATTTTATGCATTAAATAGACTTTGAATTTCTGAAATGCAGTTACTTTTATGTGCCACAATAACTAAAAATGTATTACTCCTTTCAACAGATTAGCGTCCAAAAACTTATTGCAACTGCATGGGATATTTTTCAACCCCTTCTTTTTGGTTTGGTTGGATTGGAGGTATCTGTTGCATCTCTTAAATCAAATGCTATTGGTAAGAATGATTGCCGGCATGAAAAATGTAAGAGTTGGAAATATTTAAGAAAATTATGAATAATTTTTATTTTTATTTATAGTATGTCTTTGAATGCCACAAGGGCCTTCTCCAGACACTCACATTGAGACATTAACATACTTTTGCTCTTCTTGCTCCTGCGGGTGCTCTTTGTTACCAAAGACAGACCATCATCCCCCCTGCCTGAGTGACCTGAGGAAGTGGGGATTGGCATTCTTTTCTGAGGAGAAATAGTAGCTACTATTAGCACCCTTTGAATGCTTTTATTTATAGTGAAAGCTCAAAATCTGTGAGCTCAGAATTAAATATAATTTATCATATTTTTCATGGTATCTCCACCATCAGATAATCTCTTGCACTTTATTCAAGGTCTCAGTCATTTTGCATTTTTATGATTGTTATTTTTACTTAAAAAAATAAAGGCAGAAAGAGGCAGTAGCCTCAAAATATTTTCAACACTCTCACAATTCATATCTCCAGACATGAAGAGCCACTTCTCCCCAAGGACCGTGTCACTCACGTTTGCTTCTGTCTGCTGTAGGCATTTGTGTCGCCACCATGAGTTTGGCATTATTGGTTCGGATTTCTTTTACATTTGTATTGATGTCTTTTGCTGGTTTCAATGTTAAGGAGAAAATATTTATTGCTTTATCATGGATGCCCAAAGCTACAGTCCAGGTAAGAACATATTAAGTAATTCTGATAATTTCACTGTTGATTTTTAAAAATTCTAAATGACAAATGTTTGCCCAATCACAAAATACGGGCTATTTAGCCTTACTTGTAAAATGCTTGATTGATCACAACTACTCATTAAAATTTATGTAATCTTCTAAAATCGATTCTTCTGAAATTCAAACGTATAATTCTATGATAAATATTTCCTTAACTTATGAAAACATTTTTGTTTTCCCAAAATATAAAATAAGAACATATCTGAAAATCAGAATCTTTGTATTTTGCTGAATATTGTAGAGCTGAATATTCTGATTTTAAAGTAGAGACACATCGATTCATTTAAAAATATATCTTTTCTACCCCTTGCACCCCTCCACCACACATGAATGCACATGTATTATCACTAATTACACACTAATTTTGTATGACTATTAGATTACTGACTGACTCTTCCCATTAAATCACAAGAAAAGGATAGGAACCATCTCTGGGGTTTTTTTTTCCCATTGTTTTCCCCTTGCATTTAGCACAGTCCCTGGGAAGCAAGAAGTACACAATAAATAACCATTGCATGCCTACAAGAATGAATGTATGAAGGACGTAGTTTTGTCCTCTAATTCAGTGATATTCCCTCCTACTAAAAAGGGTATTATTACTTATTGGCAGACTCTGTCACCTGGCAGCATAATGTCTTGATTCCCTGAGATTCTTTTCTCCATTGTTATTCCAAAACAAAAGCTTCTGAGCTTCCCTACAACAAAATTCTCTGTGTCGTGGTTAGAAAGCAGGCCTCTGGGGCTGGACTACTTGTTTTGAATACCATGTTACTTGCCTATAACCTTGGGTAAGTTAGTTTATAATCTCAGTGTCCAGTTTGTCAATTCCAAACTCCATGTCAGTTTCACTGTATCACTGTCTCCTAAGTAGGAAGAACAAGAAGAAGATGATCGTCAAAATCCTAGTGAACCATAAGAAACTTGAGTGTTTTTGCATTGTCTTGTCATAGCCAAGACTCAAGTGGTTGGTAACAGCAAATAAGCAACATGCTGCTTCAATAAAAACTTGAGGTTCTGATAGTAATGCAAGCACTGAAATATATATATACATTTAAACAGGGGAAAGCTAAGATGACAAAAATACCAAGTCAACCCCCAAATGTCTGCACACTGATATGTCACTATTTTGCTCTTCCTCCAAATATATTTGCTAGGAAGAATATAGAATTAGTGACTAACTCATGAAAATCCTTTGGCACTTTAAGTCATGCATCTTTTCTAACAGGCTAGTACAACTATTTTCAACCTTTTTCATCTAATGGCCCACATAAACTAATTACTAAAATTCTGTGGCACACCAAAGATACGCATATATTATATATTTTGTGGATATGACAAAAAAAATAGTTGTAATTTTGATTCATTCACACCAGACTGCTATTTATTGTGTTGGCTGTTGTCATTTTTTTAATTTGACAATCTAAGGGAAAAGAGGTCAGTGCCCCTGACTAAATATAAATAGTCAGGTATTGCATGTTTTAAAGATTCTTGCAGCACACCTATTGAAAATCGCTCGCTAGTACTAGGGTTTGTTTATTTTAACAGAGCCATTTGCTTTTATTAAATGTTAACTTTGTGTAACATTTTTCATTATGTTTCATCTTCCCTCACCCACCCCCACCCAAATGCAGGCTGTATTAGGTCCTCTGGCGCTAGAAACTGCAAGAACCAGTGCACCCTACCTGGAGGCATATTCGAAGGATGTGATGACAATAGCATTTTTAGCCATCTTAATCACAGCTCCAAACGGAGCTCTAATTATTGACATCCTGGGGCCCAAATTACTTAAACGCCATGTGATCCAAACAAAATAAAACTGGAATTAACAAGATTAGAACGTCCTTAAAAGTTCATTTGTCATCACCTGCCTGCTTTTCTTTAATGAATTATCTTACACAAGAGAAAAAAGGTACAAATATGTGAAGAATACATAGAACCAAGGACTTAATAAATATGTGATTTGACTACAGAACTTTTCTATGACTTTTTATTGCAAAGTTAATTTAGTAAAACAATATAAAATAGAAGGTCCTCTTAGCATTTGCACATTTCAAGAACAAAATTCATCTGTAAATACCCTAGGAAAGTTTAAAGTAATCCATCAGGCTACACTGCTGTCCTGATGCAAACTAAGTACTTTTTCCCGTTGCTTTTGGCTCAACTCACCCTCTGAACTTGAGAGGCCCCTCACTGACCACATCATCCTCATTTCCTGTCTGCTCACCAACAGTTCCCCAACAGTTCTGCCCTGTATCAGCTCATCTCTCTCAAGTTTTCTTTTTCTTCCACTGACAACATATTACTTAAGTCTGTCGGCAACAATTAATATAAACTCCTATAAAGTGGTCTTCAGATGTGTACTATCCTCAAGAGGGAATGTAATTCGGGCTACATAGTTCCTTTTGTCCAACGGCAATTACTACAGAGGAACTTGGTTGCAAACAAACCTTCAACAGAGACTGTTGAAGCTGGCAGGGGAATGAGTGTCTCAGTCATACAATACATATACTACAGAGTACACTACTGTCCACTCCTCGTGCCATTTGGATCTATTGCTCCATATAATTTCACTGCATCTAGGAAAAGCTCCTCCGGAATTCTGGTTGGTTTCTTTTTGTAGGGACATTTATGAGGGAACATCAGTGGAACGAAGTGCAGCCACTTAGCTTGGCAGCTGGTCTTTCACCCTCAACTGATCATCTCCCTCCTCTATGATCCACATGTTGTCTGTTCTCCATTCCTGTCACCCTTGGTGCCATTCCTCATCCACTGAATGTGGGATGCCACGCTCAACGATGGCTACTGCACTTGTCTACTTTAAATCAAGCCATCAACACTAAACAAGAGGTTACCTAGAGATCCCCCAGTGGATCATCTGGGTGCCTAACATATTCCTCTCTGCTTCTGTTTTGTATTGGAATTGAATCGCAACCACTTTTTTTAAATTATCTTTATAATTTACCTTGTAAATGAAATGTTTACTGTCATTTAATTTGGATTTATTTATTTGGGGGATATGTTTTTAGATATCTACAATTTTTGGATCAGTATAACTTCTTCATGAATTTTTACTTTTATTATTATGCATTATGAGGGGGTAAATTGGAACATTTCGGGACTGATCTAGAAAAAATAATGGCCATAAGGTGGCACTAGCACACAAGCTTTATTTGGGTAATACTTTGACAGGTCTGCACTGCTGGGGAAGGCCCTAACAGCAGGAGACCAACCAAAGGCATAAAGCCTTGGGGGCCAACATCCAGAAGGGGAGGGGGGTGAGGGAACTCCTGCGGTAGAGAGGGGTTTTGTGTCAAGGGGGCTTATGTATGATGCCATGCCACAGCATGGCAGGGCGTCTCCAGGTCAGAGAATTCCAAAGGGTAGCAGCAACTTAGGATCTTTATAGCCCAAGGTTCATTTTATCTGTGGCAAGCAGATAGATGTTAGACACAGTTTTCACATGTTACTTAAAGCAAGCAAGCTCTAAATGGCTAAAAAAAAATCTGCTTGTTTAGGCTCTGTTTAAAACAATTGGGTGTGTAAAATTTGGGTTTGGTGCCATCAGGCTTTGAGCTAATCCAGGTCTCAGTCTCCTGTGAATGAACAACGAAGGGGCCCAATACAGCAAAGGCCAACTTTGCCTTATAATCATCACATGCACTGACTTTCTTCATCCATTTTTTGGTTCATCATTGTTTATTATTTATGCTCATTTTTTAAGGTTTGTTTTTACTAGGATTATTTTCCTAAAGTTTCAGTTTATTGTAGTCTTCTCTGTTACTACTTATTTATTATACAGACTGCTTTAATACACACTTTACTTCATTCTTTGCTCCCATTTAACTAAAACTGCTCTCAGTAAGATCATCAATAACCTTCACCTTATCAAATCCAATTTTTTAAATTTTCTTATTGTGTATACATGTTTAATTTATATAGTTTCCAAATGAGACAACATACATGGAAGTTAGTATCTTGCTTTCCTTTTGATTTATTTTCTTTCTCCTTTCTCCTCTCTTCTTCCATCCAAATTCCCATCTCTATCCTCCCCAGACAAATGAGGTCGTCTTCATTACAGCAGATCATCCCCATTTTTAACCATGCTCATACAATTGTATGCAAACATATATGCAGGCACACACACAGTGACACAAAGTGAAAGTGTATAAATGAAGGGAGACACCAAAAAAGAGGGATATATTTATAAAATATTGTGTATTTATACTTACATGTTCAAACTTCAGTCACTTTCAAAGCACTCTCCATTTGATACAATACACACCTATCAAGACTTTTTTTCCACTGCTCAACAGTTTTTGAACTCATCAATTTTGATGCCTTTTGGTGCTTCTGCCATTTTTAGTTTCACCTCTTCAATATTGGCAACTTTTTCATCCAGGGAAACAAAAAATAGTCACTCAGGGCAAGATCAGGTGAATTGGAAGGGTGAAGCACAGAGTTGTTGCCGTTTTGGGGCTCTCGTGTAAATTACCCCATCACGAAATGGGCAAATGTGTTGAAAAAGTCTGCCAAAAAAATTCACTGAAGCCGAATGCAGACTCTCACTTCACCAGTTAGTACACTGATACAGATGGGCTCCTAGGACACTCAGCTAGTGGGGGAAGCCTCTATTACAAGGGGCCCGCCCTCCAAAAGATAATCCTTCCTGTGGAGAGGCCCACCCTTATGTACACACATACACACAGCAATGGGATTCAACATGCCATAGTCATCTTTTTTTTTTTAACTACAGATAGCAATATTGAGCCAAGTAATATGACTCTAATTTGTTTTTCCCACTAGGATCAATGTCATAATGAAAAAATACACATATTCATAATGTATATAGGATTACTGTGACACAGAATATTTTTTCCCAAATATTACCAAATGGATTTCTAAAGAGACTGTAACAATTCATACTTCTCATCATTGGGGATGAAAAAAAAAGGATCTGTAATAAATATTACCAAAAGTAACTTTACAGGGTAATCTGACCATAAATCCCTAAGTAGGCAGGTCGTGGTGGGTAGTCTCACCCCAGGCTGATACATGGTTTCTCTTCACCCTGAGCAAGTCCTGCCCGTTGTTTCTGTGCTTCCTGTGCTTCCAGGTTCCAGCTTGGAAATGCCTCTTTTTCAGACCCCTCTGAAATTCAGCGTTCTGAAGAGAGCACATAATCTTGTTAACAACTATCCTGTAATCCAGTCCTTGACTTGCTTTCTCCTCAGTCATGTTATCTTCCCTATAATCCCTCCTTAATCCCAAATACATAAAGAAACTGCAAAACTGTCATTTTCCAGAGCTTTTAAGATCTTGCTTCCCAGCATGTTGTCAATGTGGCTCATATAAACTCAAAAATTCTGTATGGGTGTGGACATTTCTTCTATACACACTATCCATTTTTTATGTACTTATTGTTCAGTATGTATATTGTATATTACATAATACATATTCATATGGTATCGTGTTAGTTCTTTGTAACCCACATTGAAACTTCTCCATATTTATGACATATTATTGATATTTGACTTTGTTTCTCTTTTGTTGCATGTGTTACTTTTTGTCACATACAATATCTTGCCATGTATAATGGACACTTTTTTGCCCAAGTTTTTGAGGGAAAAATAAGGATGTGCATTATACATGGATGGTACCTGAAATACCTGGTATCTGCTCTTGCATTTAGTAGTTATGTTACATATAATTTCTTGTACCATAATATGTTCAAAAATAAATGTTTAAATTCCTTCCTAATACAAAAAATGAGTATCTAAATATAAATATATTAAAATGTAATTAAAAATTAAAATGAAAGATCTTTTTCCTGAAAGTTTGGGCCAAAACCATAGGTGTGCATTATACAAGGGAGTACATTATACATGGCAAAATATGGTTGATTTTCCCTGTTTTTAGTTTCCTATTCTCTTTCCCTATTCCATCTCCCTACTCACTCTTTAAAATGATTTTTTTAAGTCACTTTGTGTGTCACATGAAACCCTTTAGTACAAATTGGACTTACAATCTTTTCTCTTTGAATTGAAACAGCACATTTGTCAAATATTATAGTTTCATCTGTATCTTGAATCTCAATGCTCTTCTTTTTTATTCTTACTTAATGTAATTATTAGTCATATTGACTTGATTCCAATGGTTTTAGAGTATGTGCTGCTATGTCATGAGTAAAATTCCCCCAATAGTCTTTATTTTTGTACAATTTTCTGACTATTCTATAAGAATTTTAAGACAATTTAATCCCATTTTAAATGCTTTTTTTATTCTAATATGAATTTTACTGATTTCTACATTAATTTTAAGAGATACTTTTACAATTTTTCATGCTATTAAATCTCAAATGCTTATAGTAATTGATTTTTATAGCTGTTTTTTCTTATGTCTTGTAGTTTTTTGGTAAATTTATTTTAACATTATTATATTTCTCTTTCCCTATTGTGAACAAAGTATTTTTCCACTAGCATTTCAAAGTGCTTATTACTATTAAAATGGGTATATTTATTGTGTTTCCAAATATCTCTGTTTTACCTAATCTCTATGGTTTCCTAGGTATATAATATCAACAAAAGTTTTCTATTTGTCTGTGTTTGTAGTGATTATTTCATTTTTTAACCTGATCAGTCACTCACTGGATCCTTCAGGTTAATCTTTAATATGAAATAATAACAGTTAACATTTAGATTCTGGTTTTTGTTTTAAAAGTTTATGACTTTCAAACTTGTAGGCTTTTTATAATCTCCATTGGGTTCAGTTTCCTTCAATTTCTATTTTACTCAAGAATCTTCATTATGAATAACTGTTAAATTTTAGAAATAGCCCTT